TTCCTGTGACAAGAAATGAGAAGAACGAATTCCTGAGTTCAATTTCTTTCTCATTAGGAAACATGGTGCAGTCTAAGGAATTTGTGGGAGGGGGTAGACAGGAATTTGAATGCCACTGGGAAATTCTGACGTTTTAAAAAAAGATGCTGAATATGGAGAAGAAGCCCCAAAGGTAGGAATTTCCCTTGAAATGACCAACAGCAGCTGACTGTTAGGTCACTCTCTTACTATTTTTTTCAGCAGCATCACTTTGATTCCTTTTGATTTATATAAAAAACAGTCACACTAAATGAAGCAGAATGGTCATTTCAAAGCAGAATCATTCTGACAATGATGACATGAAGCATTCTGACATTTTTCAATGGAAAAAGTGCCAATGAAATTGCACGTATTTCACTGAAAAAATGTTTGGTTGCAAGTTTTCAACTCATTGCTGCTTTAGAATAGCAATCTGGTTTTTTCCTTTGTCTTTTGGTTGCCTCAAGCAGATGACCATGCCATATATCAAAAACCATAAAAAGTGCCTTAACATGTCCACAAGGGTTATACATCAGCATCTCCAAAATGGTGGCAGCGCTTAAAAGTCAGGTCTAGAAAAGATGCTGAACATGAAAAAGCGGGGACAACAAGCTTCCTTCAACTGTTTGTTTCTGTCTTGCCTTCTGAAAGCTCTTTTAGCTAAATCTGGAGGCTGTGAGTTTGCTCTGGGCACTTTATGTCAGAAGGGGTAAACGCAACTCCTAAGGTGTGTATGCCTTGCAGGTTTGGAGCTGTGGCCTGAGAAATGACTGGAATAGGAGAGGCAGAAGCAAAATGGTGATTAGTGACAAACTGATACAAACCAAAGAAAAAAAAAGAGAGAAGACAAATACATGTGTGGGTCTAGGGGTGATTTTTTTAACCCTCCTTCTCTGCTGAATGCATGTGCTCTGCATGTAAGCTCTTCTCTCCGTTTATTTTCTACCCTCAGACAATACGGCATGGATTTTGACGAGGCGCTCTGGTTTCAGACAACATGAGCAGAACACCTTTTACGTCCCCATCCTGATCAGTGACAACGGCCGCCCCGTGCTGAGCAGCACAGGCACGCTGACCGTGCACGTGTGCAGCTGCGATGACGATGGCATGGTGATGTCCTGCAACGCAGAGGCCTACGTCCTGCCTGTCAGCCTGAGCAGAGGAGCACTCATTGCAATCCTTGCCTGCATCTTCGTCCTGCTCGGTAAACCCTTGGCTTCTTCTTGGGAGGGGTCAGACTCTTCAGTTCTGGCAAAGGGGTTGCTGATCAACAAAAGGTGAAGGACACACACACACATACCTATGTACGTATTACATGTAAACACACACATACCGAAAGGGCCTAATCAAGGACCAGATGGCCAGATGGTGTAGCCAGCTGCACATGGCTTCGGATGCTGGGGTGTAAGAACGGGGGAAAACTATGGCCTGCAAATATTTCTGCCAGATGCCCGAAGAGCCAGGGTGTCTGTATCACCCTGCTTTCCTGGAAGAGGTATGCCAGCAGGAAGTCCTGAGAGCTGTGGCTGGGGGCAGGTTATTTTCTCATCCTCAGCAGTTTCTGATCAGATGATCCCACAGGAAACAGGAATGGTAAGCCCTGTTCCATCTCTTGTCTTTTGACATTTACCTTGAGACACTTGCTTGTGTTTCATCCTCACAAATAAATTTCATCCCTTCCTTGCCCAGACTTTCTATGTCCCCTGGTAGCTGTTGTTATCAAAAGAACTTCAGTGCTGCCCTCATTCACTCTCCCGAATCATGAGATATTAGTTCAAAACACACATTCCCTGAAATTTCAGGGGGTACAATTTGAGGAGAAGTGGAGTAAGATACAGGAAAAGTTCTTTAGAAGTGTCTCAATTCTGGCTAGTCCAAGGAGCCTAGATATCTCAGTTCAAAATTTCAGCATTCAAAACCTTTGCTGAATTCTAGTCCTGGAAATAGTCACATTTTCAGAAGTAAAGGGCTCTGGTGCTTGTATGAGCACTTCTCCCCATGCTAAGCAGCATGGAGAGGATGATGAGCACCAGCACTGCAGCACTGCAAGAGGCCTGCAGATAAAACAAAACCAAAAAAAGCTTTGGAGGAGACTAAGGGCTGGTCTTTTGTAAGGCAGACACACCGCCATCCATCTACGTCACATGCAGCCCCCAGCCCCAGAGTCAGGCCCAAAGCAGGCTGCGAAACCCAGCTACGCACCAGGAAAAAAAAATACCTCTATGGAGCTGTGTGCCACTGCAGACAAACCGTTACTGATAGCGGATCTGGCTAACTTAAACGTAGCTCAAGTATTGCTATAGTGCATCACAAGCATCGCTGGATTTACATGTCCTAATTGTCACCAAGAGTTAAGAGTTAGGTGGGAAAAGGAGCAGATTAACAGGACTTCAAGCTACTTGGGGTTGGGCGATTTCTACACCATCCACCTGCAAACACCACAGCTCTTTAAACCCAAGAGGCTGACAGGGCTCATCAAGGGCAAAACAGGGCAGCAGAGAGTCTAAAGCCCTTGTAAGATCTGCCCCTTCACTGATGGCCCCATGTCTCTGTTGCCTCCTGCAGTGCTGGTTCTCCTCATCCTTTCCATGCGGCGCCAGCGGAAGCAGCCATACATCATTGATGAGGAGGAGAACATCCATGAGAACATTGTCAGGTACGACGACGAGGGTGGTGGGGAGGAGGACACAGAGGCCTTCGATATTGCTGCCATGTGGAACCCACGCGAGGCCCAGCTGGTGGTGAAAAACCGGCAGGACATGCTCCCTGAAATAGAGAGCCTCTCCCGATACGTGTCTCAGGCGTGTGTCATGGACAACAACGTCCACAACTATGTGCTCGCCAAGCTGTACGAAGCTGACATGGACCTGTGGGCGCCTCCCTTCGACTCCCTCCAGACATACATGTTTGAAGGGAACGGCTCAGTGGCAGAGTCGCTCAGCTCCTTACAGTCGGTGACAACAGACTCAGACCAGAGCTACGACTACCTGACAGACTGGGGGCCGCGCTTCAAAAAGCTGGCCGAGATGTACGGTGCCACGGACAGCAGCGGGGCTCTGTGGTAATAGACGAGGAATGGCAGAGGGGTTTCCATGCAAAACGGTGTCCAGTTAGGTCCATTCTCATCAGATGCTTCCATGGACGTGGGTGAGGCCTCCTAAAAAATAGCAATACGGTGCTTGGATGAGAATGGGAAGAAGGGTGCGAATGAAGGTCTCTCTGGATCAGCTTTACTCAGTTAAATTAAGTCACGCTATTGAAACAGTGGGAAGCAGAAGGAAGAAAGATTTTTCCTGTTTTTTACAGCAAAATTGGAAAGCTCCACACCTGGAATATAATGACATTATTCTGTTTCTCCCTTTCTCTCTCCCTTGTACACGGCAGCTTACTGAGCTCTGTACGTCTGGGTTCAAAGATCTACGAATTCCAACTGTAATCTCCAACTCACTAAGAAATTGCCAGCACAGAAAATCTGTTCCCCACCAGTTATTTTTCCTCCATTAAAAAGGAAAAAAAAAAATTGCTTGCTAACATGGGGAGGGGGGAATCCCACAAAGCAGAAAATTGAAACTGGAATCTCAGAGGGCTCTTTGTAAACTAAACCTCCTCTCTTTGTTGCTAACAGAGTCCTTTTGTAATCCTTTAGAAACAAGGCTGAGGGGTTTTTTCCACCTGGCTGAGACGGCTGGGGAAGAGGCTTTGAATTTCTGCTCTAGTTTAATGGCTGATCTATAAGTCATTGGCGTTAACACTAATCCATCTCCTATCAAGTTTGTGTAAATTTATTCTCAGCTCCTTAAAACCATGACTCTGCTAAACTGCTCAGAACAAAACCAGAAAATCTGCCTCTTTTGCACTGTAGATGTCTCTTCTGTGTGCCAAATGTGAAGATTAGGTTCTACCAATGAAAGCCAAATAAATTTTAAAAAAGAAAAAGCTATATTTGGTAACTACATGGGTTAGATGGGCTTTCCTAATCTGTGTGAGGTCAATCCAAGGGATGTTTACATACTGTAGATAACCTACTTGAAAAAATGCAGTATTATAGACCAATAAATGGATGTAAGAAAATTACATGTATAAGTTTTGTATATTTGTTAATTTTGGTAATAAATATGATGTACTGCATACAGTACAGTACCTTAGCATCTCTTTTAATAAAAGTTAAACAGAAGGGAAAGTCTGATGGTAATTTATTGACTATTTTGCACACAGCAGTTAGTGCTTTTCTGTGGCTTTACATGCCTTAAGCATCGAGAAAAAATGGTTCATTAGCACCATGTCAAGGAGACAAGCCTTCAGTTTGCAGGTTCAAGAAGATTGTCTGTTTCTTTTATTGTTGTTTACTTGGGCATTGTCCTTAGCGGTGAATCTTAGAATCATAGAACAGTTTGGATTGGAAGGTACCTTAAAGATCATCTAGCTCCAACTCCCTGCCATGGGCAGGGACACCTTTCGCCAGACCAGGTTGCTCAAGGCCCCGTCCAATCTAACTTTGAACACTGCCAGGGATGGAGCAGCCACAGCTTCTCTGGGCAACCTGTGCCAGAGCTTCACCACCCTCACAGGGAAGAATTTCTTCCTAGTACCAGCCCAAGTGCATTCCAACCACAGTGAAGTAAAAAGAAAGTCTTGGCTGATGATTTTTGAAACATTATGGCTGGGGCATTGAGAAGCTTGGAAACCAGTTACACAGCCCTGCCAATAACTCATGCCTTCAGAAACATGACAGACTGTAACATGCAATATTGGTTTATGGTCATTCTTACTCTGCAATCAAAGTTCTGAGCCTGGATCTTATCTTATTTGTGTGTGTAAATGGGAAGGAACAGGGAAATTACTAACACAAGTTTCATGGAAGGTGGCGAAAGGCTTTTGAAAGTAGAAAAGTCAGCAATGGCATTTGCAGATTTCTTTCTAGCTAAGGAATCTGTCCATCTCAAAATACCCAGAAAACAGATGTGCAAACATAACCACTCAGTTACCACACTTTTACCATGTCAGTACTGTGCTCAGTTTCTGTTGCAGGTGTGTGTGAAACTACTGTCTCTACTTAGCCAAATCTTAAACTGTACCAATTTAAGACAGGAGCCTTGTTTCCACAGAGTCATACAAAGTCATTCATCTCTGGAGAGCCATGCAGGCAGCAAGATGAAGACAGTTTTAGTGACTTCTCAAACATTTGCTCATCTGACACAATGAAAAGCTGTGCCTTTACAAACATAATATGCCGTGGGTTCTGCTTACCACCTGAACCTGCCTTATATCCCTCACATATCATATTGGTTTTATAACACTAGACAAAGAACTGCAACCACCATGATCAAGCAAATGGTGTACAGTGTGCAAACCTGCTGTTGAGAGACTTCTGAGAGCTTCTTAAGTTCCTGATGCAACAGGAATCACAGAATATAGAGTAGGAAGGAACAGGAGAGGACATCTATTCCACTATTTCCCTGTCTGAATTAATCATCAGTTTTATATACTTTAAGCAGATGCCTGTTTATTCTTAAAATCCCCAACCGTTAAGGCTGTGTAACCTTTCCAGTCAGTCTTCCACTGCATCAATATATTCAGTGCTGAAAGCCTTCCCTTGGAAGTGTAAGGCAAGTACCCATGTTATAAAGGCTGCACACAGACTGCAATGAACATATATAATTCTCCCTCTGTATGGCTATGGTTTGGTATTTTCAGACCACTACTGTTTCTCCTTTTAGTCACAGTCTACGATAACAAAAAGCCTCTCTATAGTTCTTCATGTCCTGATGTTGCAACAGTTTACTTGTCCCATTGTAGCACAGTAAAAGGAAGGGGGATAGAAATGCAGTCCATCATCATACTGTCTTCAACTTGAAGATACCTACTGCATGTACTGGGGGTTTCCCTAGGGCAAGTTACTTCAAGGTCTGGTTTTACACCACAGAAGCCCCCAGCAGTGGCTTCTGCAAGACAGGCTATGCAGCAGCTGAGACCAGCTTCCCAGGTTGTGTATCACCCAGCAGGAAGGACCAACAGCACTTTGGCTAGGTGCTTGCACTCACACCATAGGGAAGCCTGCAGAGAGCACAGGCTCTGTACCCACCTTCCTAAGCTGCCTGTCACCATTAGGCTGCCTCGTAATCCTCAGGTTTGCCTCAGCTTGTGAGCACAGTCAGTAGCTGGACAGCTTGATGCTGTGACACTTCCCAGCTGGTGTTTAGTAGGCACTTGGCAGCCTGGCTGGGTTTTTTTCCATTTTATGGAACAGGTGACTGCTTTTGCAGTCTGTGAAATCTCCATGCAAACAACCAACACTTGCATCTATCACCCTCCCACAAACAAAACTGAAGAACGCTCTGTTTTTACGGATGAGATGTAAATAGGATCTATTTACAGACACATCAGGGCTCAGCAGGCCTTGCCCGAACTAGAAGAATGGAGAAGACTCAACCCAAAGGAAACATATGACACCACAGGCTGGCAGTGAAATAAATGTGCTGATCACAAAGGTCCTCAGTCTCCTGCCCTGGGGCTTCTCAAGGCCAGGCCTGGCAATGTGCATGAATATTTGCAGCACTACATAAAATCTGCTCATGGTTTACAGCCAGGGAGCTCAGCTTGTCATCGTGGAGGGACTAGGCTTCACCACACCATCAGACACCTGCAAGTGACAGCCCCAGTCCTGCATGGGACCCACACCCCACTCACTGCCCTGGTGTAAGGGCAGAAATGTGAGAGGGCCAGAGCAAGACACTATATGCCCTCACCACTGTCCTCTGTTCCCAAGGCCAGCCTGAACCTATAAAGCTTTCATCATTATTCATTTCATTTTGTTCCTCTGATGACTTTTTTCCCCCCCCCCATAACTGCTAGTTCTCAGGTCAAAACAAACATCCAGGAACAATCCTCTAGTTTCAGCTCTGTCTGAAATGGTTCAGAAGACAAAATAACAGAGGGTATAAGTCATTTTACTAATTCTAGTCACTTAAAAATTGAGCATATGCCCTAAGCAACCCATCTAAGTTCCCTCTCTAACCAACAGAGCTAGACAAAGAGTGATTCATTCTGTCTGTCTTGACCATCTGTATGATGCTATGACCCTCTGAAGGTGCTTCTCTCAGTTAATGGCCTGGCTGCTGGGGATCTGTGCATGCAGTTCAGAGTCTGGCCCTAGTCACTGACATTCTCAAGCCCCCTGATCTACATTTGGTTTGATGCGTGACCATGGACAAACATTACAGTCTCTGATGTTTTCCTTTTCCTACCATCCATCTGTCTTGCCTAGGTAGATTGCATGACCTACCATGTCTTATATTGCATTGGTTGTCACACCTAGGCTCTGAGTAGCAGTGCTCTTTAAGCTGTCTGTCAAAAGACCAGATCTCTTCAGAGCAAAATGCAGAACTCAAAAATGCTAAAAAGAGTTAACATCACTCTTTCTCTCACAAATTTTCTTGCAACGCTGCGTTTCATTTGCTCCTGCATTGCCCATTTATCCAGCTTTATTAGGTCCCTCTTGATTTTGTCATTTCTCCTCCAGCTTTTATTGCTCTTAATCATTTCATGCTACCATCACATTTGCTGCCTCCAATCCCCTTTTAGACCATTCACTAAAACCAATAGTGACATAGATCCTTGGAGAACTCAGAAGTTATATTTTGGTCACCTTGAAATATGATTTACTAGCCTATGTCTGGCTTTTGCTTGGTGCAACTGTCATATACCACAAACTAGAACCTGCTGCAGTGCCTTCTGCCTCACAACAGTTCCCAGGAACCATCAAAACAGATTTCTCTCAGAGGTCTGCTCAGCATATGCACCACATCTCACATGTACTGGCCACAAGTAAGAGAAACTAGGCACATAAACAAGGTACAAATGATACCTGACAAACTCCAGAAAAGGTTTGACCTGGACAAGTTCAAAGTTAAGGATATTTAGTTACTTTTGCCTTTGTGCTGCCAGATGTGATCACTTTGGTTTATGCTAGCTTAGCTTTCAGTTAGACCAACCCAGGAGAGGCTGCTGCTCCCCAGGAGAGAAGGTGGGTTCAATAACAAGCGAAGATGGCATATGAGGAAATCCATACTGTTGCAAGCTAAATATGTTGCTGTTTTCCCTCATCCTGACTGTTAAGATATGGGGCAGCCCGTTGCACCCTGCTCAAGAAATAACCCATAACACATTCTTTTTACATGCAGCTGTTGCAAACAGAGAGTATTTGAAGACATTCTTATTTGTGTCTGCTGAGATCCACAGAA